CCTGACAACCCTTCCCAGGAAGGAATTGTTCCCAGGATCCAACCTCAACCTCCCCTGGGCAACTTGAGGCCCTTTCCTCTTGTCCCATCCCTTGTTCCTGGGGAGCAGAGCCCGACCCCCCTGGCTCCAACCTCCTCTCAGCAGCTGCAGAGCCAGCAGGTCTCCCCTCACCTCCTGCTCTCCAGGCTGGACACCCCCAGCTCCCTCAGCTGCTCCTGCTCACACTTGTGCTTCAGCCCCTTCCCCTGCTCTGCTGCCCTTCCCTGGACATGCTCCAGCCCTTCCATGTTCTTGTTGTGAGGAGCCCAGAACCTCCCTCAGGATTTGAGGTGTGGCCTCAGCAGTGCCCAGCATAAGGGACAATCCCTGCCCTGGTCCTGCTGATCACACTAGTGCTGATACAAGCCAGGTAAAGCTGAGTGCTGACACCAGCCAGGATGCTGGTGGCCTCCTTGGCCACCTGGGCACTCTCTGGCTCATGTTCAGCCCGTGTCAACCAACCCCCCCAGGTCCTTTTCCCACGGGCACTTTCCAGCTGCTCCTCCCCAAGCCCGGAGCGTTGCCTGGGGTTGGTGTGACCCAAGTGCAGGACCCACAGCTTGGCCTTGAACCTCACACCATTGGCCTCAGCCCATGGATCCAGCCTGTCCAGGTCCCTCTGCATGAGCCTCAACCCATCGATCCAACCTGTCACCTGCCAACTGACTGAGGTTGCCCCCCATCCCCTCACCCAGACCACGGATGAAGACATTAAACACCACTGGTGACCACCAGGTTTATCTGGGGGGGGAGGAAACGTCTCGGTGAGAAGAGGAACCTGGAGAATGAAGTGCGGGACCTGAGGGGACAGGTGGCCAAGGTGAGCAGGGACAGCCCAGTCCCCAGTGGCCCCACTCACCCCCCTGTTCCAGGGGGTAGAGGAAGGGCTGGGCGGTGGGTCCCCGGCCAGGTCTGGGCGCTGTGCCTGGGCAGTCCCCCGGTGCCCTCTGTGATGTTCCTTCTCCACCCCCTGCAGCTGGAAAGCGCCTTGAGCGAAGCCAAGAAGCAGCTGCAGGACGAGATGCTGCGCCGCGTGGACGCCGAGAACCGCCTGCAGACTCTGAAGGAGGAGCTCGAGTTCCAGAAGAACAGTTACAGCGAGGTGAGCCTCCCCGTGCCCGACGGCAGCCCCGCGTGTGGTGTCCCCAGCCACCCAGGTGACACCGTGTCCCCTGGCCCGTCCCCAGGAGCTGCGGGAGACCAAGCGCCGGCACGAGACGCGGCTGGTGGAGATCGACAACGGGCGGCAGCGCGAGTTCGAGAGCAAACTCTCCGAGGCCCTGCAGGAGCTGAGGAGCCAGCACGAAGCCCAGATCCGGCTCTACAAGGAGGAACTGGAGAAGACCTATGGGGCCAAGGTGAGCAGCACCCCAGGTACCCCTGGCGGGTGGGCAGAGGGTGCTGAGGGATTTGTCGCCCACCCATCCCGCCCTTCCAGCTGGAGAACGCCAAGCAGTCGGCGGAGAGGAACAGCAACATGGTGGGTGCTGCCCACGAGGAGCTGCAGCAAACCCGCATCCGCATCGACAACCACTCCTCCGAGGTCAGC